ACACTAACAGTCCCCACTAAACCATATCCCTAAGCTCTACATCTAAACGTCTTTTAAAGACTTCCAGGGATGGTGACTCCACCACCTCCCTGGGCAGCCTGTTCCAGTGCCTCACAACCCTTTCAGTAAAGAAGTTCTTCCTAACATCCAACCTAAAACTCCCCTGGCGCAACTTTAGCCCATTCCCCCTCGTCCTGTCACCAGGCACGTGGGAGAACAGGCCATCCCCCACCTCACTACAGCCTCCTTTAAGGTATCTGTAGAGAGCAATAAGGTCGCCCCTGAGCCTCCTCTTCTCCAGGCTGAACAAGCCCAGCTCCCTCAGCCGCTCCTCGTAGGACTTGTTCTCCAGGCCCCTCACCAGCTTCGTCGCCCTTCTGTGGACCCGCTCAAGCACCTCGATGTCCTTCTTGTAGCGAGGGGCCCAAAACTGAACACAGTACTCGAGGTGCGGCCTCACCAGAGCCGAGTACAGGGGGACGATCACCTCCCTAGCCCTGCTGGTCACAGTGGTTCTGATACAAGCCAGGATGCCGTTGGCCTTCTTGGCCACCTGAGCACACTGCTGGCTCATATTCAGCCAACTGTCCACCATCACTCCCAGGTCCTTCTCTGCCTGGCAGCTCTCCAACCACTCATGTCTCATCCTGTAGCTCTACTTGGGGTTACTTGTAGCAGTGCAGGCCACCACTGTGCTCGGTTTGCTTGGTCTCATCTGCATACTTGTTTCAGGGTTCCTGAAAATTCCCTTTACACCGAATTGTACAAGCATATAGGTATATATTTATTCAATGTGTGTTCACCCGGTGTTATTAAAATCTATGTATTTACAGGAATGTTACTGGTACATATTTAAATATATTTGATTCTCTCCAGGTTACATCTGGGTAGATGGAATCAATTGACTCTCTGGAAGTTCTTACTTTTATTTCTCTATTGTGGAATTGTAACTTAGACAACTAATTTTAGATAAATTTAGGTGAAATGAATCATGCCATTAGTGGTCAATACAGATGTTAAATGGCATATATTAGCAGAAGAAAATTTCCACTAGCAAGCCTAGATAGCTCACACCCAAGAGTCCTAAAAGCATGGACTTTTAGGATTGTCTTCTGCAAATGTCAGGTATGAATAACTCTTTGGTTCTGGATAATTCTGAAGATTAAAAACACATTACTATGTTATGAATGGTCAAGAAGTCAAAAGGGAAGAGGAGGTAACAGGAGAAATGATAGATAACATCAGTTCTTGGCAAAATAGCGGAAATATGAAAAAGATTGAAAAAAATAAAGCCGAAGATTTATTGCTATAATTAACCGTGGTAAACATTTTATGAAAAAAGGCTTTATTTCTTACAATTAGAATTGATAAAAGTAAGTACATAGTGAATTTTTGTAAATCATTTGATTTACCATAAAAAACATGTTGATAAAAGTATTAGGATTATGCAGTATCAATAAAATACATTTTAAATGGATTAAGAACTGTCTCACCGGTCTCAAAAAACACTTATCAGCAGCGAGTTATTACTGACGATGACATTTTTAGGAAAGGTCTCCAGAGAGCAGTCCTAGTTCTTAATTAGTTTCATTTTCATTGGCTCTGTTCTTCATCATTTTAAGTCTATTAGCAGGAATAAGTAAAAATGAAATTGGTGCTGTTAACATTTGTGAATGGTTGGAAGTGGTAAAGAATGCAAAAAACAGATCAACCAAACAGAGTATTCTGGATTGCAAAGGAGAACATTGAGCCCATTGAAAACCAGACTGATACACAGCAAATGATGAGAAATGACTGTAGGCCATACTTAACAAGACAGATAATAGGTCAGAATGGGTCCTGGAAAACAATGGGACATTTTAGTGGAGAGGCAGCAGTGTCTCACTCTGTGCTTTGCTACAGAAAAGGTTTTAGGGTGTTTAAATTCCAGAATTGTAAGTGGGGAGTAGGGATGTAATTTTACCTCTCTACAAAAAACTCTTAGTGCATGTAGTTGAGATCGTAATACTTTCTAAGATAGTTGAAAGAACAGAAGGGGGGAAGAGAATAAACACAGAAATGACTCAAAGGTTGAAGAAAGTATTTACTGCAACAGACATCTTTGCGTATTGGGTTTACATGGCAAGGTTTTGATAGCAGGGTGCTGCTGGGGTGGCCTTTGTGAGCAGAGCCCAGCAGCTGCTCCATGTTAGATAAGGGCCTGTTTCGGCTGGCTCCAAAGGGACCCACTGCTGGCCAATAAGCAATGTTACCTGTGCCTCTGTAAAAAAAGATTTAAGAAAGAGGAAAAAAAAAAAGTGCTGTGCAACAGTGACTGGGAATGGAGTGGAGTGAGTGAGGAGTGAGAACCACCCCTGCAGCCCCCAAGGTCAGTGCAGCAAGAGGGCAGGAGGTGCTCCAGGCACGGAGCAACAATTCTGAAATTAATTGGCTGAAATTAGATGATCTGTAAGGTCCCTTCCAGCCCAAACCACTCTAAGATTCCATATATACATATACAATCAAGAGCTGTTTGAAAACGTATTAAAAGTCCGTATTTCATATGGACTCAAAATATAAAGCAAAACATTAAGATGTTGATCCACAGAAATATATTTTAATAGTACTTTTGAAAGAAGAAAAACACAGATTCTGGATTTCATATAAATAATAATCAGAGATTCTGGGATTTATTAAAACTGTAGTTTCTCATCAATTCTTGATTGCCCTGGATATGAAATGCCTACCTGACAATACCAAAAATGTCCAGTAGCTTATCAACCACTCTGATACTTGTAGAAAGAACAGCAGTTCTGTAGGCGACTCTACAGTTCATCCAATGACTTCCTGTTTTTACTTCCCCTCAATACTTTCAGTGAATAAAATGGATAGCGTCTTTCTGTTTTTCCATTAATCAACACATCTTCAAGTGGGCAGCAGTACGTTAAGGAGTACTCAACTACCCTCCTCTATTTTATCTACACACAGAAGTCAGATGCGCCACTATACAGCAAAGTGGTGTTGTACTAGTACTACCTGCAGATGCTGCAAAAAGGTAATTTTTCCATGACTGGTTTTAAACTCCAGCGACAGGCTTAGTCAAATCTACTGTTAAGTGGTTGTTCATCAAACAAATAGGGAACATGATACCATGAGGAAAAATTTATCAAGAGGCCAATAATTACTGTATAACCTGCAATATTTTTAGGCTGTCACAGGCTTCATTGGATGGGAAGAACCAATGGATACAGCCAGCTAGCAGGCAGTATTAACTGGCAAATTCATTTGGCAGTAGTGACTTACAGCCAATAAAGAACACCCTGTTCTCCATCTAACTTTTTTCCCCTGTGCTTTACCTCTCTCTGTTGAAAACTTGAGCATATTAGCACTGTGTAATGGCACCTGTCAAAAACTGAAACCTTCATTTTCTGATGTATAAAAGTTAAATAAACATACGATGAAAAATTAGGAAATTAGGAAAATGCTTTAGGAGTTGAATTTTTGTTAAAATACAAACCATTTTTTCTTGCCATCAATTAATAGTTTTTTGGGGTATACATTTTGCAGCTGAGCATTCTCTCAACTCCCAAGAGAAATTACTTTTTTAAAAAACTAAAGTAGTAAGTGAAAAAATCTTTCAAAAATGTTAAAAAGTGTACTTCTAAAAGTGTTTTATCACATTGCACTTATCTTTTTAGTATCTTACCAGGATTAATCTTGAATAGAATGTTTTTTGGCTTAGATTTGCACACACCAATCAAGCTCAGGTATATTTGGTGAAAAGATTTTGTCTTCAAAACCTGTAAATTATTTTTTTCTAGTCCTGCACCAATGATATCAACAACTTGCTTCACTTTAAATGTTCCTATTTGATGAGGAGAAAATGAAAATATCACATCCTGTAAAAGAAAAGTTATGAGACATGATGAAGGAAAGAAAAGCAAGTAAATTGTATAATTACCTATTTGAGTTACTTCCCTTCCCAGTTACTCCTAAAGATCTGTATTTAACCCCGTGCTTTAAAAATACGCCAGTGGCTACACTTAGCCTAGCAATATATGTATTATGCTACAAATTAGAACATCAGCAAATTCTTGCTAACTCACTTCTGAGACACACTGTTCTCTTGTGTCCCGAGTTAGAGGTTCTGTTAAATTATAAATGCCTCCATATTCAACTTAAAATTAACATAGCTTCCTCCATTAAAGAAATATGTTACTCAGGTATTTGTGATTAAGTGAAGGAAATGAAAATAATCCTAACAAAGGTTTGAGTTTAAATTACTCTGCTCAAGTTGGTAAAATCCCCCCCAAAAAAAGTAAAACCAGGCAAAACCTGCGTCAAGTTTCCTTATTACTACAATTATCTTTTCCATATTAAAAATAATACCTGTTGCTTCCTGAAGTACAGGTAAGGGCATTAAATGACTCTACAAAAGCAGGAAAAAACTACACATTTGGCTCATATTAAAAATCACAGCTACCGAAATGAAACTATTCTATTTTAATTAAAAAAAAAATCTACATTCCAAATATTTACCATTATATTTAATGAATAAGATAGACACAAGTTTCCCATAAAACTAAGAAGTGGAAGATTAAGAAACAAAAATCAAGATATACAATCTTATCATCCAGATATACATTTCTGATAGTGACTAAATGTTTCTGTAACATACTTGTGATCAGTGCGGTATCATCACCACAAGCCTTCAGATAGCCATCTTTATTCCCCAACAGCCTCAAATCTCAGAAACAGTACATAATCTTGTTTTGGTGACAAGTCATTCACTCCAAAGGCCTTTTTAAATTTCCTGTAAGAATCACAATATCTAATTACTAGACAAAAGAAAAAAGGAAAAAAAAAAACAAAAACATTTTTCATCATCTAATTCAGCTGTTGCTATCAATTACAGCTTTAAATGACCTTTACACTTCAGTTCAGAAAACAGGAAAGTAAACAATTTAACCGAACACTATCTGTATGACTATGCTACTAGTCATTTGGTATCTTTTCCATTCGCATACATCTACAAGAGTTTTCTATAAGTGATTCACGTGCATGTAATCTTTAAAGAAGAGTTTCAGTAAGAAAATTTGCTTTTTCAATTTATTCTTTTTCTCCCCCTTGCTTGAAGGAAAAATGTTTCTTTACATCTACTGTTTTGTAATTGTAAGGAAAGCTTGCAAATGTTTCGTTCTCCTGCTAATGAAATATCCTATCACTGCACATATGCGACATCTTCATGAAATAAGTCTACAGTCCTGAGAAAGGCATTTAATTCGACACTGCACAACTTCCTCAACAATCTTTAGAGATTCAACATAATTAATTGCAGAAGTAATTAGTTCCCTTTGCAAAAAATCTAATAAAATTCTTCAGTCAAAACAAGCTTAACCAATTCCCGATTCAAAGGCATTCTTAATGAATTATAAGACATCTCCCAGATAATCACTTCCGATTTGGCTTTATCATTTTTAGTATCACACTAAGGAATTTCTTTTAACACACGTAAGTATCAAGTAATTAAAAAAAACAACCTGCATATTAACTTAAAAAATGATTTCTCTAACACATTTCTTTACATAACAGACAAACTTTTTTTTTCTTTTTTTTTTTTTTCTCTTTTTTTTTTTCTCGTTTGTAATTTGGACCATTAACTCAATTTGGACTAAAGCACAACGTAAGAAAAGACTTCTCATAAGGTAGTAAGGTTCCTTGATTGGGAAAGCACAGGATCAAAGTGGAAACATTTACATCTTCTGTTTTATTTATGAGGCTTAAATCTTGTAAAACAGCATCTGCACTCCTCTGAAGATCTGTTCCCTAAAAGAAAATAATAATCAAAATATGGATACATCAACAGTGCAGCCTGCTCTAACTACCCTTTTGTTTTGCTTTTTTCCCCATGCATGGTTTCACATCTTTCAAAACAAATAGAAAGACATAATGTAAATACCAGTAAGACGTAGTTCCATATCATTCAGCTAATTAACTACTTCTATGTCAATGTTTTTAACTCCCTTTTTTTATAAAATGTGATGCTCACTCAGATTACTTCACTGTCAGAGTAAAGCAAGTGAAACTAAGCTTTTAACACCTTGGAAAACCAAAATGTGTTTTGACAACTGCTATATAGCTTCATCATAACAAATCCACTAACTCATAACAAATCCAGTAAATCAAGCATAACTAGTCCTGAAAAAATAAAAATAAAAAAGGAGCAAAGGAGGTGGAGAAGGAGGGAAAATGTACTTAACATCATTAATGCTACGGTGTCACACAGTGAAACAGAAATACTGAAAAAAATTAATTCCAAGGTAAATATATAGTAAACAATTTGCTGATTGGACAGAAGTGGCAGGAAGTTTATTGATCAGGAAATAGCATGACATAGAAAACACTGCTAGAAGATGAATGTTGAGAAAAAGAATGTGAATGCAGAAATAAAAACGTGTCTCCAACTAAACTGAATTTAAAATAAAGAACATTTTCTTACCATCTCTCCTCCAATGCTATTGTCTTCCAGTATTGCTACCCAGTCCATACACTCTGGACTTTTCTTGTATAAACATATTTGTTCAGTCTTTGAAGACCCAAAGTAAACTGATCCAAAATTAACGCATTCCAATACATTTCCAGAAGACACTCCTAGAACTTTCAGAATTAGTTCAACCACAACAGCTTTGATCCATACTTCAGTGCAGCCATGTCCTTCCAACTCCACTCTGTCAGTAACAGTAGCAAGTAACAGGTGATGTACAAAAATGTTAGAAATAATCAATTTGTATTATGCAAAACTAAGTCAAATCAAAGCATTTAAACTCAAGTTGTCATCTCCATAGATAACCTAAGCACTTTTAAGAACTTTACGTCAAAGATCTTCTTCATTTAAGTAACATAATGAAACAGACTAGAAAAAAATAACACATACCCTTTTTGCTACTAGAAGAATATAGGATTGAAAAGGGTTTTCCAGATTTGTATCAACTCCAAATTCTGATAGTGCCTAAAAAGTCTGTATTTACAATTTGAAAGACAACAAGGTGGGAACTTAAAAATAGTGTATTCTTGAAAGAGGTAATGGTTGTGAACAGATTCCTTCTGTTGAAAATGGACACCAATGGACTTCGTAACCTTTTCTGAGACTAGTGAAACACATCCAACCAAGAGAAAAAGAGCAAAGTTATAGAAATCCAGAAAAAATTGGTGGTGTGGAAGGTACAGGAACACTGCAGGTAGAAGATGCAGAAGCTCTTTGTTAGCAGCACACAGAGATGTGCACACATGCCATGTAATTACAACTTACAAGAAAATTCTAAAAAACAGCCATGTACACAACCTGTGTATCACTGTTCCACAGAGATAATATAAACATCAAGTTCATTTAATGAAAATAAGCGTTGAAGACAGGAATTGACACTTGGAAGATATATATATATATGTATATGTATTAAACAAATTCATAGTAAAGTCTTTAGAATTAATTTTTTAAAATATATAGACCTGGATTCCATCAACCATACTCACTCACTTTATCACTTCTTTGATGACTCTTGGGACATCTGTACAGATAGCCACTTTGACCACCTTTCAGGATCCACCACTCCACTGGAAGTTGTTATGTTAAGTAACACAATCCCATCATATGATATCTCAAACGTACCTAAAAGGAATAATACATTGCACAACTTAGAAGTTGTAGATCGATATTTTCCTATGAAACATTTTCATTCACAAATGACATAAAGCAGGTGTTTACAAGCAGTACATTTTCTTATGGAAACAGGAAACACAAGGTTAACATTTTTCCAAAACTATTTCTAACAGAATACAGCATTCTTCCCAGGATTTTTGAAATTAAACATCCACATATCCAATGTAACTGTGCCAACTGTGCAAGCTGTCATTGCAACAGGAAAGGTACTTACATTCCAAACAGAACTGATTATATCACAAAGCCATTATAAGTAACATTTAATAAATTTGGGAATATTTTATGCACAGCTCTAGGCAGCCACAGTCTAGAAATTTCACAGATCCAAAGAGAGATCTATTACCTGCAAATAGCAACACTTTTCATAGCTTGATTCATACACTATCCAATTCATTGCAGAAGAGAACAGTTAATCTTTCTCTGACATACAAATATCTGTTTAAATGTGAAAAGATTAGTAAATGTGTATTTCACCAGCAGCACTAATTTTTTGCCATTATAGGTAGCAAGAAATTGTTTCAAATGTTGTAGGAAAAACACAGTTTTACCTCAAACAACAGCTGATCTCTAATATGACATCAGAAGCAGGAACAAAGCACTCATACTTTTAGCACGAGATACGAAATGCCTTGATTCACAGGCTGCATACAGCATTTCTGCTGCTGTAGTTTATATGATGCCTGCCAGCACAACCTGCTGTGTTCTGATTCAGAGACTACACACACAGATTGAGCAGCTCTGCCTTTGTCTGCCCTTGATAAGTTCTTCACTAACCACTGCTTTTATTCTAATTTTGCATGTGGCCAACACTGCAAAACTCCATTATGCAGCCTTTATGTGTCATGCAGCAGTTTAGAAGTAGTTCCTACACAGTGTGAAAAGTCTCACATCGTGCAAATGATAAATCTGCAACCAGTGATCAACTAAGATAATGATCAGCTGTTACTTTTACATCTCTCAGATTGGATTCTAGAGTAGAGATCTCCTAAAATTCTGCAAAGTTCCAAGTACATTTTTCTTCCCTAAGCAGAAACACAGTAGAGCCTAGAGGAGGAATGGATCACTTGCAGAATGCACGGGTAGGTAGCTCAGCACCATCACACGGCTCTCTCACTCCCCCTCCTCAGAAGAAAGAGGGGGAGAAAATCTGATGGAAAAAAGGCTTATGGGTCTGCAGGGCTGGTTCCCTCACATGTTCTTACTCCTCTCTCCCAGCTGCTGCTGCATGGTGTTTTTCCCATTCCTTAACTCTGCTCTCCCAGAGGCCCACCCAGCATCACTCCCTGGCTCAGCTCTGGCAAGCAGCAGGTCCCTTTTGGAGCCGGCTGGAGCTGGCTCTGGTCTGACATGGGGCTCTGCTCACAGAGGCCCCTGCTGCAGCTCCCCCACTACCAAAACTTTGCCACATAAACCCAATACAAGAACCTTTAGCTATAACAGGAATAATAGAAATAACGCAGAACTTCAGTTAATTCCTACTTAGTCACTGAGGAGTTAACTCACACACAAAAAAATACATTTCCTAAGAAAATAAATATTTTCATAATTCAGTGCACATTTAATATTTACCTGATGATGATCCATGGTTAGCAATATTGATCTCTTTACTAATTACTTTACTGTTTGCAGTCACTGTACCGAAATTAATCTCTGAATCAGTTTCCAGATAACAGCGTGGACTTAATCTGCAGAGAGAAGGCATGGTTTTATTTTCCCCAAAGTTGAAAATACATTTGCATTTTTAAAGAAATTTGATTAAGCACCACGTTGGAAGAGTTCTGCTTTTCTTCTAGTCCTCCTCCTACTGTTTATGCAACTCACTCCAGCAGTACAAAATACATTAAAAAGATCTATTAATTCAATTAATTTAAGAACTAATGACTGCAACTTTAAAACAAGCTAGCCTCGAGCAATTAGTCAAAATGGAATATATGCATTTTTATTTAACTCTAAATACCTATTTGTCATACAAAGTAGTTTAAATAGTTTACTAGAAAAGTGTTCACTGTATTGAGTTGGTCGTATCTCCAAAGTTAACATCCACTGTCTTTCATCGTCAGCTGCCTGAACTAAAAGTAGAGAAAAAACATGCATGCCAATTTCAATTTACAGTCTTCTTGTTTTATAGATACTTCACATGGCTTCAGCAAAACTCGTTAAAACATAGGAAGCGTATAATGACACAAGTTCTTGCTGTTACTTATTTAAGAGCATCAGCAAGCATGACTACTTCACTGGATTGGGTAGTGCTTAGACTTAATGAAAAACTACTACTTGCTTCAACAAACTCATGAAGGCCCCGATTTCTAATACAAGCCCATGTTTGACATCATGTAAAATTGTGTTCAAATTTAATTAGGATTTTACATGAGCACAGACGTCCATCCCCTCTTAACCGCAAATAGGGACATGCAGGAACAATTGCATCTCGTGGCCTGTACTAAGCGTTGCACCAAAGACTAACAGAAGGAAGACAGCTTCCTAGGCCAAGCTAGGTGGACCCTGCCCACAGAAGCTCTTTCACAAAGTACAGGGGCAAGCAAGTGGAAGGTGGTGGGAAGGAAAGGAGATGGGGGTGGAGGGAGAAGGGAATCAGAATGAAACAAATGAACTTCCTCTTGGGCAACAACTTGGTTTTAATTCTATTTAATAATTTATTGTGATGCAAAACAAAACACTGAATTCTTCAAATAGATGGTTTAAACCAGTGGGTGGGGGTACACCAGGAAACTACTGTCAAGATCAGAGCACAATTAAAACTATTTTGAAGTCCTGACATGTACCAATTATTTAGACATTCTTCCAAGAGGTTTCATGAGATATATGAAAGTAAGTATCCTTCCACTCAAGTCCCAAATATATAACTACCCAAGTAGACAGGAATAAGAACAAAATTGTAACCAGTATCAATTCCTAGTAGATAGTGATCTTTTCACAAAAGAGAGAGAGGAATTAGCGTGTTTACATTTTGTTAAAACAAACAAACAAATCCCAGTTACTATATTTCAAAGAAAAAGCAAGAATGAGGAGTTTCAGCGAAGCATTTACACACTCAGACACACTAAAAAATAAGCCCATAACTCTCTGGTTTGATTGAAACAATCCCAAATCTTGAGTATACATGTAAGTATTTTCTATTGCTATCAAATATTTACTAAATTAATTCATTACATCAGTATTACTGAGCACATTAAGAGTCCATGGCACGATCAAGATACACTAACTGCATTGTGTGGTCACCAAAACTGATATGAAATACATGTGTGACAAACTAATATGGTTAACCACTGGAGCTAGTCACATGTGCCAGGCAAACATGTAAAAGGTGTTTCATTTGCAAATCAAACAACTATGATATTAACTTCACTAAGGCACAATGGAAATAAAATTCTTTTGGTGATATTTTTAACCAAATAAGTGGTTACAAAAATAAGTTAAAAGTTACTGCAGTCTGATGTTGTATGGGAAACAAGCTTTTCCTGCATTCACAGTGAATCGCTTCCCAGACTAATGATCATCTTAAAATGAACAGCAGATGTAATTGAAGGAATTGCACAAAATGTTGGCAAAAAAGGATAAATCTTTTCATGCTTTTCTCCTAAACTCTCCTAAAGGCCGTGAACTTCTCTTTCATTAAGATTCCACGGGCAAAACATGCAGACCCAGATTTTCCACAAGTTCATAGAGAATTACATATTTGTACATACACAATAATCCATACTAAAATAAAAGGTGAAAAACAACAATTCCAAAGACAGAAAACTGAAAATAAGTGAACAGGTAAGAGAGAAGTAGCAGACATTTAAAGAGGTCACTCTAAATAATTTCAACAACTTCCAAATATTGTCTATACGATAACACATCTTAGGTTTCTGTAACTTCTGAACTAGCTTTCACATACTTTAAAATGTAATTCTGTTTGTTAGATGTGGAAGTACTTTTTCAAAGTACTGCCAGTACACAGTCTTTGAGTCATTCACCCTAGAAAATAAAAATAAACACTGTATTTGAACCAGCCAAAATCTGTGGCTGGTAATTCTGCATGTGTCAAAAATACATACAACACAGACATAAATCTAAGTATATCCTTAAAAAAATAAACTATGTATGTCAACTTAACACTTAAGGAAATATAGGATAAATGCATATTAAATTATTGATGGTGCATCAGCAGAAACAATAAAATCTTATTTAAAATGAAAAAAAGAGGTAAAAACCTTTAATTAGGGAGAAAAAAACACACTGGAATTATACTACTAATAAAAATAATATACTAATAAATTATACTATTTCCAGTTGAAGGGAAGAAGAGGACAGGACACAGCACAGGGGCCCTCCAAAACAGAACATGCAAATATTTCCTTTAAAATATTTTTAGTGTCTTCCATCAAATTAAAGACTTCTGTGCACATTTCATAGTGATATCTTTATTTAAAAAAAAAAAAAAAAAAGCTTCTGACTAGTATTTGTCAGCCAATGAGTTCTTATACTACCTATATTTTTTTCTCTAAATGATAAATGGCATATTCAAAACTATGTTTGTAAAGAAAAATATGTTTGGTATTTGGTGACCCTTCGGTGCAATAACTATCATCTATCTGTAAACAACAGACATGCATGACAAAATTGATTTGGGAGAAGACTGATTAAAAAGTATTAAGTATATTTAGTTTTGATTTTTACACAGAAAGATAATAATCAGTTATACCCTGTTATTTTTTCCCCCACAAAAGATTAAACACAAGGATTTTAAATATTTAGCTATCTACTGAAAGTCCTTTTCAGAAAGGAATTGCCAGTAGCTTTATTGTCCAAAGTGCAATCTCTCCAAGGCAGTCTTACCTCCAAAATAGTAGCAAATAAAAATAGTTTTTTTTCTTCTAGGAAGTGTGCTCTGGCAGAACATATGTAGAGACAGCTATTTTTAGTAGTTCACACAGACATCCGCCTAACCAGAAAGGTGAATAGAAGAAATACATGTATCATAAGACATCTTACATGAATCAAGTGGTATTTTAAACATTTTAAATATTAATTTTAGGCAAAAAATAATAAAATGATCATATTGAATTACTATGTTCTGTATTAACATTAAATAAATGAACAAAAAAGCATTCAGGGATTTGCATTTAAATCTCTACACAATTATTTTCTCTCTAATAATCTTTAGTGTTATTATACTAAAGTCAAATGCGCAGACTTGTAACAATACCAATTTATTTTAATTGATCTCAGGGTATTATAATATTAAGACTGATAACAGTAGAATGAACATGACAATTGACCTGTGGCTAAGAAACTGCTAGCCCAAGAAGCAAAAAGCATGCAACTGAAATACGGTGCTCTTAAGATGAAAGGAGAAAAAGCAAATCAGGGAAAAAAAAAAGATCACAACATGACAGGTAAATAAAATGACAGAGTTAAGTATTGCCCATCTGAAGGCAAAACCTGATGCGTTTCAGGCTAACATGAGTTTGTGGATTTGTTTTATTTTTTAAAACAATTCATATTGAATAGTCTCCAATGAAATTCCTTTCCACCTGTAAACGGAATTTCTAATGTTGAGATTTTCAGGAAAATCATGATTTGCATTAGTTTATGTAGAGAGGGGATTCACCTACCCTAACTTAGGCACCCAAGAGCTGGACCTGTTGTCATTCTGTTTTTTCTTTATAGGCAAGAGAGAGAAAGGTCCTCCAGAACAACTCCATCCCAAATCCTCATCTGCAGATAAATATCTAGCCTAAGTCTGATGAAGTATTATTTAGAAACTTACCTTTTCCAACCAATATACAGATAATATACAATACACAGACATATTAGAAATCATCAGCATTATTATAACCAATATAAAGTAAAGCAAAAACAAGAACTCAAAGCCTCTGTAGTATTTTAGAACATCACCATCCCAATTATCTTCTTACCTGTGCATTGTTATGGCGAAAAAAAAAAGGAAAAAAACTTGCTATTTATTTTCATTACATAGCTTAGTCATGCAGCCATATGTGATAGGTGTTAGCAAACTTTCCACAAGATTAGACTGAAAACTCTAACAGCAAAATGTGAACTTTTGACCTTCATATCCGAACAAGGGGATATCAACTCTTTTCCTATTAAAAGAAGTAGTCAGTCTTTGAGATCTTCCTCACTCTCAGGACAATATTCTACATCAGCTGCAACAGGTTTTTCTGGATTTTCCACAATCAGTTTAAGCTGCAGTGAAAAAAAAAAAAAAAATTAATCAATTTTTCATTTTTAAGATTTAAAAAGATATACATGTGGTCAATTTTTCAGAGTAACACACAGTGATTTAAAAAAGGAAGAAATTCCTCTGCTTATTTATTTATATTCATGTTGTTTATCTTTTTTTCCTGTTTACAGTAAAACAGAAAGGCAGAAAGAATGCCCAATCCACACTTCAATGTAATTCGATGAGTTGACAAAATACTGTTTCTAGTCCTTTCAAGAGAGCTCTAGCTTTTGCTGCTGTTGCCATAAACCCTCTGAAGCACCATAAGATAAGGTCAGATACTACTTAATACAGAACCTTTTCAGTATCTGAGAAAGCAACAAGGATTAAAGCTTAATCCAAAATAGCCTACGAATAGTCTGTAGATCTGATCTACACTCAGATGAATTCAAATGAAAATATCACTATACATTGAAAAAATCTTCCTGAAGGGCCCATGGCCCATGCACCTCAACTTCTTTGAGTGGAGGGTGCAGGAAGCTGTGGAATGAAAGGAAAAAAAAAAAAAAAACAGAAACAACTGACACAAAGTACCTTTCCCCTCCCTCAAAACAAACAAACAAAAAAACCACAATAGTACCAACAGTAGTCTGGATTTTTTGCTGTCTGTCTGCATCTGATAATATCCAACACCACCACGTCTTTCCTTGAACAGAGGACACATAAGCCATCTACGAGCATGTAGAAGGAATCCCACAGCTACCATTTTCCTAAGAAAGCTTCATAATGTTATAAATGAAGTCTCAACTCTTAATTTAGTAACATAAAAAAGTATTTATAAAAGGCAAGTAAACAATGCTGGGCGCGTGGGGAGTCTATGCTCTGCCAACACGCACACACAAACATCCTAAATATACAGAACATTGCTTTACATACTAAACGCAAGTATGCCTCTACATACATACAATCAGGAAAGGTAGCAAACAATCCTTTAAGTTCCATAATTTAATAAAATAAAGTATGCCTATACATAAAAGGTAACAAACAATCCTTTAAGTTCCATGCCTTAACAGTCTCCATTTTCCTTTCCTTTTGAGCGATGTGTCTCGCTTTAAGTTGTCAAGCAACTCGGTCTTCAGGCCTTATGTATCCCGTTCTTCCCAGATCGAAGAAAAGCATATCCATCTCCTTGTGAAGGCCAATAGGCCTGGGTCAAAAGGCACGTTCAGGTCAGCAAGGGGCGAAACAGCAAAAGCCTTCGATGGCTGTAACAGCAGAGGGGCCCATGGCGTAGCAGAAGGATCAGTAAAGGAGCCCACAGCTCCCTCACTGTCTGGCAAACCACATGTTTCTGACTGTGGTCCCACATGGCTCTTTAAGGCCTCAGAGGCTGCTCGCCAGGTGCCGAGCAATCCCACTGCAATCTTGTCGTTTTTAGTTGCAGAGTCCCACACCTTGACCTCAATTTGGTCCCATATTTCAGGATCATGAACTGTCCAGTTGTTAATAAGGAGAATAAGCTGTAAGGTTACCAGGACAGTCTTTGTTCCTAAGGACGAACGATTCCCCATAATGCGCAGCTGCTTACCAGCGAGAGGCAGTTGTGTGCACGGCTCCACTTCTCTCAGCTCGAGCTTCTCTCCAGCTCCAGGGCGCCCATTTCCAGCGACTTTCTGTACGAGCTTCTCTGAGCGGTTTGCTGAGTTTGGCCGAACCTATCTTCATGAGGCAATCAAAGTGCCTGTTCCCGTCCTGGTCTCCGTTCTGCCAGCCTGTTCCTCTTCACTTCTTCTTCCTGCTTCTTTATTGATGTAATTTCATCGTGCTGCCTTTTTTTTTATCTTGAGAGCAGGCTCCCCTCTTATACCCTTCTCTCCACAGCAGTTCTTTTCAAAACAACTTTTCACTGCTCAAACAACTTTGAATGTAGCGACAACAGCAAACACCCAGAAACATCCGTGCCTTAACTGGAGAACAAGCAACCGGAGACTGCATGGAGTCTCCTGAATCACCCTTCTTTGTTCCCTCTGAACTCTTTTATATTCCTGATGGCCTCAGCGTTAAGAGTCTAATGTTATCTCAACCACGGGGTTTTCCAACCCCCCATGGCCACATTCCCAAATCTCCCCCTTCTTTATTGATATCAACCATTTTCTCCACACGAATTACCACTCCATAAATAAATAAATAAAATTAAAAGAGAAGATTACCTTAAAGAGTTAAAGTCTCTCTGCCTTTCCCCTGGAGAACTGAGAACACTCCTACATAGTTTATATGATCCTTGAATCAATTCTGGGGTAAAGTCAAGGGACACAGGGTCATATCTAAGAACTATCTGATCTAAATGAAGAGAAGCCTTTGAGATTTTATACAGCTATTATTAAGGTACTAAAAGGTCACAAGCTCATTTGTTTATCTTACTTCAGATTATTTCTCAATTTTTTGCATTAAAGTAAGATGGAAATGTTCTGTCTTTCTGATCACGCTTTGTGATACTTCAAAATAATTACATTCATGAGGGAAACTGGCTAATGCAGGGAAACTGGCAAACATATCACTTGTTATACAGTGCTTCACAGCCAAGTTGTCATGTTCAAACTTTTTATTTTTTTTTTCTCATTCTGCTGAGAATGGTAGCAACAATTAGTATTTATAGAAAAAAAATATTAGAAAAAATAAATTGGTTATGTTTTTTCGTATCACTTGAGCCCTTCCTTGCTGGAGTACAAGAGGACCCTTGGAAGATTCTTGCCTTCTCTGCTCTTTCTGGCCTTCCAGGGACCTACTCGCCCATCCACCCTCTGAACAGGTTGCTAGCCTTCATTCTGCTAACTTTTCTCCACGTGGCACTACGTAAACCTGACCTGTGAAACAATCCAGTGTAAAAGCACTTATACATGAACCTTTTTTGTTGTTTTATTTTCACTGGAGGAGGGCTGTCTTTAAGCAAGATAACTTCACAGCTTCATTTTAGAGCACTAGTTCACAGACAGTTGAAACAACGCTGTTGACAGGGTGCTAACAGGGAATGGGGGCTGGAACAAGCAGCAGTCAGAAATCTTTAAAACCATGTCTATAATAAAAGGATTTGTAGCAAAGAACACTGCCATTACTTCATTGGATTTGATGTATGTATGTACATACAATCTCTTTTTTAAATCCATTTGACTAATTTTTAACGGATTTTAATTGTGATTTATCTATTTTTAGAGGCCAAGTGTGGCATTAAAAGAGTCCTGATCTCATTGAAATAGCTTGGCAGGCTCTCTTCCTCTTCTGTAAACCATTATATTCAAATGCTTGCTATTCCATCGTTATGATATCCTGTTATGGAACAACATTAGATAACGGACTCTGTTCCTTCCCTTCCTCACCTCTCACTGTCTTCATATAATTGCATCAGTCACCAAATAGCACAAAAGGGAAAACTTATATAAAGGAATATACATACTTTGTTCGATGACAGAAGCTTTTATACCTGGTGTAAGGTATGCCGAGGCGATCGGCTCCGGGGCAGACGCGTTCTGCAGCGGAGCGGGGGATCGGGCCAGGCAGGGCTGATTTTCCGGCATCGAGCCTACTTGAGGGAGCCGCCAGGACCCAGCAGCCCTCGTGAGGGAGGCTGACGAGGCGAAGGCGAAGCCAGCAGCGCCCCCTGCCCGGCCGTTCAAAAGCAGCCCCTAGGGAGCGCGGCGACCAGGGCGTGGCGCCTCAGAAGGGAGGGGCGCGGCCGTTAGCGCGGCCGTTAGCGCGGCCGTTAGCGCAGGCAGGGCGGAGAGCAACCGCCTGCCCACACGAACACCTTAACGACAGCCATTAGCTAGGCGATAATGGTCTCCAGCAGGCACGGAGCGCTCTCCAGGAGGTCGGTACACACCCAGACCGTTAAAGAATGCAGCGGTTCAGGTCACTGGATGCAGGGAGTGTCAGAGCCTGTTCCTACCATCGGCGGGAGGCAGAGACGCTGCGTGCGTGAGGTGCGAGCAGGTGGATGACCTGATCCGCATGGTGGCGGAGCTCAAGGAGGAGGTGGAGAGGTTGAGGGCCATCAGGGAGTATGAGCGGGAGATAGACTGGTGGAGTAACTCCCTGCAGGGCCTCAAGGAGAGGGATCGAGGTGAGACACCCCAAACGGGGGTGGACCCCCTGCCCTGTCGCCGTCGGGCAGAGGGAGGGGACCTGGGAGTTGAGGAGGAATGGAGACAGGTCCCTGCTCGACATGGCAGGGGATGCCCTCCCCTTCCGACCCCACCTTCCCGGGTGCCCTTACGCAACAGATTTGAGGCCCTGGAGCTTGACAGACCAGTAACTGAGGAAGAGGTAGCAAGTGTTCCCAGGAGGATGCCTAGGGCGAGGAGGTCGACTCCACGCCTCAGGACTGCCTCCATCAAGAAGGACAGAAGGGTTATTGTTGTGGGAGACTCTGTCCTTAGGGGAACAGAGGGTCCTATTTGTCGGCCTGACCCTACCCGTAGGGAAGTCTGCTGCCTCCCTGGGTCTCGGATGAGAGCCTTTGCCAAGAAAGTCAAGCGCCTGGTACGGCCCACTGACTACTACCCGCTTCTGGTCTTTCAGGCTGGTAGCGATGAAGTAGCAACGAGGAGTCCGAAGGTGATCAAAAGAGACTTTAGGGATTTGGGGTGACTACTTAGAGGATCAGGGGTGCAGGTTGTGTTTGCCTCTGTCCTTCTGATAGGGGGGATCGAGGCTGAAAGGTGTGCTGTTCACATAAACTCGTGGCTTCGAGACTGGTGTGACCGGCAGAACTTTGGGTTCTTTGATCATGGGAAGGTCTATGCTACACTGGGCCTGATGGCACCGGATGGGATGGGCCTCTCTCGGAGAGGGGTAAGGATCTTTGGTCAGGAGTTGGCAGGGCTGATAGATAGGGCTTTAAACTAGAGTCGAAGGGGGAAGGGGCTAAAACCAGGCACACCGGTGAAGACCTAAGGGATGGTACGCTAGAATCAGAGGGGCTGTGCGCCAGTGAGGTCCTTCGGTTAGATCCACAAGGTGCTGAGTGTAAGGAGACGCACCTGAAATGCTTCTACACGAACGCACGCAGTATGAGGAATAAAATGGATGAGCTAGAAGTCCTGGCCCAGTCCCGCAACTATGACATCATCGGCATAAGCGAAACCTGGTGGGATGAGTCCTGTGACTGGGGTGTTGCGATAGATTTTTACAGGCTCTTCAGGAGGGACAGGCAGGGTAGGCGAGGTGGTGGGGTGGCGATGTATGTGAAGCAGGGGCTGGACTGTGTGGAACTTCAGGTCGGTGATGGCAAAGTTGAGAGCCTCTGGGTAAGGATCAAGGGACGAACGAATAAAGGGGATGTCGTTGTGGGAGTCTATTACAGACTGCCTGGCCAGGACGATAGTGCCGATAAATTATTCTTTACAGAACTAAGAGAGGCCTCGAGATTAACTCCCCTTGTCCTTATGGGGGACTTCAACTTGCCAGACGTTAACTGGGAGTGCCACACAGCTGACACGAGCAAGTCCAGGAGGTTCATAAAGCACCTAGATGATAACTTCTTGGTGCAGGTGCTAACGGAGCCAACTAGGAAAGGTGCCCTCCTAGACCTGTTGCTAGAAAACAGAGAGGGTCTGGTGGGAGATGTGGTGATTGGTGGCCGCCTCGGTCATAGCGACCATGAAGTGGTTGAGTTCAAAATTTACGGTGACAGAAGGAAAAGTGCCACCAAAACCTCATCCCTAGATATGGGGAAAGCAGACTTCAGGCTGCTCAGGGAACTAGTCAGCAAGGTCCCCTGGGAAACTGCTCTTGAAGGCCTCGATGTCCACCAGTGCTGGTCATTCTTTAAGCAATGCCTCCTAGAAGCACAAGATCAGGCAATTCCTAAATATCGCAAGTCAGGCAGGCGGGGCAGGAGGCCGGCGTGGCTGACCAGGACGATTCTGATGGAGATTAGGCGGAAACAGAGAGTGTTTCGCTACTGGAAGGAGGGCCAGGTGTCATGGAAAGAATACAGGGATGCTGCTCGTGTTTGTAGGGAGAAAATTCGTGTGGCTAAAGCACACCTAGAGTTGAAGCTGGCTGTGTCTGTGAGAGAAAATAAAAAGTTTTTTTTTAGATATGTGAATGGAAAAAGGAGAACTAAAGAATATATAGGGCCGATCCTTGATAGGGAAGGTCTCCTCACAGACAATGACATAGGCAAAGCAGAGACGCTTAACGCCTTCTTTGCCTCTGTCTTCAATGCCGATGATGGGCTTCGGGACCCAGGGTTCCCTGAGCTGGAGGACCGGGACGGTGGGGATGACAAACTCCCAACCGACCCTGAATGTGTGCGGGATTTGCTACTCCACCTGGATCCCTACAAGTCCATGGGTCCGGATGAGATTCATCCCCGGGTGCTGAAAGAGCTGGCGGACGTCATCACGGAACCTCTCTCAATTATTTTTCAACGATCCTGGGAATCTGGAGAGGTCCCGGTAGACTGGAAGCTGGCAAATGTTGTGCCGATTTTCAAGAAGGGTCAGAAAGAAGACCCTAGCAATTACAGGCCTGTCAGTCTCACGTCAGTGCCTGGTAAAATCATGGAGAAGATGGTTCTCGAACGTATTGAGGCGCACCTGGGGGACAAAGCAGTCATTGGTCCCAGCCGGCATGGGTTTGTGAAGGGTAGGTCCTGCCTAACTAACCTGATTTCCTTTTATGATAAGATCACCCGTATGGTGGACCAAGGGAAACCAGCTGATGTGATTTTTTTGGACTTCAGCAAGGCTTTTGACACGGTTTCCCATAGGATCCTACTGGACAAAATGTCCACCATACAGCTAAATAAAAACATCATATGATGGGTGAGCAATTGGCTAACGGGCAGGGCCCAAAGGGTTATGGTGAATGAGGCTGTGTCAGGCTGGCGGGCGGTCACCAGTGGGGTCCCTCAAGGCTCCATTTTAGGGCCGGTACTTTTCAATATTTTTATAAACGATCTGGATGTAGGAATAGAAGGCATTTTGAGCAAGTTTGCTGATGACACCAAACTTGGAGGAGTTGTGGACTCTGTTGAGGGTGGAAAGGCCTTGCAGAGGGATCTGGATAGGTTGGAGAGCTGGGCGATCACCAACCGCATGAAGTTCAATAAGAGCAAGTGCCGGGTCCCGCACCTGGGACGGGGAAACCCTGGCTGCACGTACAGACTGGGCGATGAGACGCTGGAGAGCAGCCTAGAAGAGAGGGATCTGGGGGTCGTGGTAGACAGCAAGTTGAATATGAGCCAGCAGTGTGCCCTGGCAGCCAGGAGGGCCACCCGTGTCCTGGGGTGCATCAAGCACGGCATCGCTAGTAGGTTGAGGGAGGTGATTGTCCCGCTCTACTCTGCGCTGGTGCGGCCTCACCTCGAGTACTGTGTGCAGTTCTGGGCACCACAGTATAAAAAGGACATGAAACTATTGGAGAGTGTCCAGAGGAGGGCTACGAAGATGGTGAAAGGCCTGGAGGGGAAGACGTACGAGGAACGTCTGAAGACACTAGGCCTGTTCAGCCTGGAGAAGAGGAGGCTGAGGGGAGACCTCATCGCAGTCTACAACTTCCTCGTAAGGGGGTGTCGAGAGGTAGGAGACCTTTTCTCCATTAACACCAGTGACAGGACACGCGGGAACGGGGTTAAGCTGAGGCAGGGGAAATTTAGGCATGACATCAGGAGGGGGTTCTTCACAGAGAGGGTGGTTGCACACTGGAACAGGCTCCCCAGGGAAGTGGTCACTGCACCGAGCCTGTCTGAATTTAAGAAGAGATTGGACTGTGCACTTAGTCACATGGTCTGAACTTTTGGGTAGACCTGTGCGGTGTCAAGAGTTGGACTTGATGATCCTTAAGGGTCCCTTCCAACTCAGGATATTCTATGATTCTATACTTTTTCTCCTTTATCACTAACCAGATCATGTATCACTAGACATGGCAAAACTGAGTAATTCTCTGTTGCGAATCACGGCCGAAAGCACAACAGACACCAGTTGAGTCAGATCATGCCGCTCCATTTTATTGCCCGAATAGCCTAACTTTTATAGTGAACTTTACAGGGGCGGACAGTGTTTCACACAAGATTATTGGTCAAAAGCACTCAGACAAACAACTATAAGAAAACAATCCCACCTGCAAGAAAAGAACCTCCCTTTTGATTAGCAGTCAGGAAAACAACCCCCTTTGTGATTAGCGGTCACTTAGACCTAGTCCTTGAGGCCAGCTGCTGGTAACAGTATTTTCTGAGTTCCTTAATTGGGCAATGTGGGAGTCATAGCCATGGGAGCTTCTCACAGTTACTCTGGCAGCTTGGTTTGCTCAGCTACAGCAGGCCCTGAGATTTCTAAGGTCTACCCCTGGTTGCTTAAAGCAAGCTCAGATTGAACAATTGTTCCACGGGCACATGTCCACATCCTGTATGCCAATTCCCAGCAATTCTCTTTCTGCAGAAAGGTACACTGTTTTGCTATTTTATTCATGTTAGAATTATCAGGTGATGAATTATAAAGCTTCACATCAAACTTATTGAAATTGGGTCATAGTCTTCAGAATAAAAAGTATAATCTTATAAATCACACATCTGAACTTCTGAGCCATTTAAAATTTTATAAGCCAGACTTT